ACCTGCAGGCAGGGCTCTCTCACTGCTCAGTCTTTGTGGAATGACTAGTGAGCACCAGCCTGATCCAGAACAGCCTAGAGGAGGAGAATCTAGCAAGCCATCGTGTCCAGTCAGCTCCTCCATGGCTAATAGTTTGCAGGAAGCCTTGCATGTCACCAGTGGACAGCTCCCCTTGGCCCCCAGAGTGTCTGACAGGTCCTGATCCATGTCCGGGTTTGGGTCTTACCTGCTTCAGGGTCCGGGCTCCCTAGAGCCAGGGTCTGGAGTGGGCACACAGCTCCAGGCTCCACAACTCCCCAAGTCCTTCTACTCTTGGCCTTGGCTTCTCCTGTTCTTCCTGGCACTTCCCCAGGGATGCCCTGGTGCTGCAGAGTTAAGAGCAAGTCCCAGCACTTTGGGAGGCTGAGGCGGGCAGATCACCTGAGGTCAGGAGTTCAAGACCAGCTTGGCCAACATGGTGAAACCCCATCTCTACTAAAAATATAAAAATTAGCCGGGCATAGTGGTAGACACCTATAATTCCAGCTACTTGGGAGGCTGAGGCAGCAGAATCACTTGCACCCTGTAGGTAGAATTTGCAGTCAGCTGAGATTACACCTGAACTCCAGCCTGGGCAATAGATCAAGACTCTGTCTCAAAAAAGAAGTGAAGATCAAGGCAAACTGTTTGGGTCAGACAGAGCCTGGCTGGACCCTAAGTAGCTGTGAGGCATGGGGAGGTGGCCTCTGTCTCCCCCATCTTGGTAGTGTTCCCAGGAGGGCACTCTGTACCCATGAGGGCAGGTTACAGCAACCCTGCTGTCCACAGAACTCTCTGGGGCTTACTTTGGTCAGGTGGTGGCTTAGTTGTCTTTCACGGTGGTCCCAGGGAATTTCATTTCTCTGCTATTCCACATTCTGGCAAGTGCCAGCCTGTCCCCAGAAGGGTCACTGGGCAGCGCTTCCTGGATTTGTTCTGAGGAAGAGGAGGTTGGCTTGTGCCCTGCCAGTCATCCCTTCTCCCCACCCCCCACCACAGTAACTCCTCAGCCTTCCTCCCTGACCCTCTGCCAGGTTAGGGTGCCTCATCTCAGGGTAGCTGAGGCCACGTGAGCACCAGGGAAGCAGGAGTAACTGACACCGGTGAAGGCTGCCACAAGGCACCTGGGACTTCTCCCAAGCCGGGAGCAATCGGAGCTGACCAGGGACCCAGGGAGTGGGCAGGGAAGAGGGAGGGAGAGGCCTGGACCCAGACTTGGAGCCCGGGGCTGGACGCCAGCTGAGAGCAACACCAGACACAGCTCACCCAGCTCGGTCCCCGCCTGTCCTCCCCAAAGGTGACTTTGGGGGTGGTAGGAAGGAAGCTCAAGTTTCTGTGGTCAGGAACAATACTAGATCCATAAATCCCCGTCCTCAGAGGCCACCAGACTCTCCCGGAGCCGAAGGCGGAAGGAGAGTATTGTGGGCTCTGGCAGCCACTCCCAGGAAGGTGAAACTGACCCGGCCTGCAGGGAACGGGCCGGCCCGAAGGAGGGGCTGAGTCCAGCCCTTCCCCGTTTCTCTCTCACTTGGGGTTCTGGGGGGTCCAAGAAGACTTGTGTCCAGATGGGGAAGTGGAGGGTATTTGTCAGCATTCCCAAACATAGTTGGGGAACTGAGGTTGGAGCCGACAAGGGACACAGGACACTGGGGGCAAGCGAGGCCCCTCCAGGAGCCCCCAACCAACGTCATCCCAGGGAGCCCAGGGGCAGGAGGCAGAGTGTCAGATGGCTCCATCTGTCCTTGGGGAAGGGGGCCAGGCCCCCCAGGTGGATGCCAGGGGCCCAACCTCTGCCGGGCTCAGAGCCCAGCCTCTATGGCCTCCCCTTGGCTCCCCCAGGTAGCTCATTTAAGGCTTGAGTAGGTCTAGATGGGGAAGTGTGGGGCCTGGGGAGAAGGGGGCGGCTCACTTGTCAGAGTCATTCCACTGCTCAGAGACGTTAATGTGTCAGATTCAGGGACAGGAAATCAGCTGCCGTTTCCGGAGACACTGGGGGCCTCCCTGGCCTCCTGCACATGCCCAGAGCGGCAATCCTGGCAGATAGATGCACACGCTCACTCACAGACCCAGTGCCACCCCCAACTTCCCCTCCTGGCTTCCCCTCCCTGAAACACAGCGAGGACCAGACCCAGCGGTGGAGGGGCCCTGGCCCAGCCACAGGCAGACAGGGACACCTGCACAGGAAGCCCTCATCCGCATGAGTCGCTCAGGCTCACCTCCTCAGCCTCGTGGTGCATCCCCTGGTGCCCTCCTGAGCTGGCAGGCATGGGGTCCCAGCCTTGAGGGCTACCCCAGAGGCAGGAGACATGCCAGGCTGTTTCCTGGAGACAGCCACCTGGTCTCAGCAGCTCCCCAGGCTTCCTTCTGCTGTGGGTCCTGCGCAGGGACCAGCCTCTGAGCCCTGGAGGTGGTGAGGGCCAGACCCCCACTCCCTGCCCACCTTGAGCCTCCTGGATGAGGCACCATCCCTTAGGCTGGGCTTGAGTCCTTGTGCCCCACCATCCAGGTGTGCAGGACCGGTCATGTGACTCGGGGCTGTCTCAGGTTTCTCCCAGAGGGGCCTTCTCAGTGAGGCTTCCTTCTCTGTGGCCCAGGGAAGCCTAAAGCAGATGCCAGGGAAGAGTCCAGCAAAACATAGGGATTGGGGCCTGTGGAACTGGCACAGGGGCAGCTGGTCAGGCAGGCCTGGGATTGACCAAATGCCCCACAGCCCACATGCAGCCAGCCACACGGAGGCCTCCTCCGATGCCTCCTCCCGCATCTGGCAACCTATGCCCCCAGCACACACTCGTGTGCTCTGCCCTTGACTTGGCCTTTGCATCTGCCCTGGCCAGGCCTCTCTCCTTCCTGTTCCCTGCCTGCACACCCAAGACCCAGTCTAGATGCTCCAGACCTCGAGGGGACCCCGTAGACCCCCAGCTTACTTTCCTTCCTGTGCCCATGTGCCCAAGTCCACGCATCACTGCCCTTTGGGTTCAGCGCAGGCAGGACCAGTGACTCCAGGTTCCATGTGTGGGATGAGGTTCATGTGGGGCCAGAGGGGAACCTGTGTCGTGACCTGCGTGGTGGATGGTGCATTTGACCTTGGACAAGTCCCTTTCTTGCTTCTGAAAATGGGTAATAAAAGCTCATACTGTCAGCCAGGTGCAGTGGCTCATGTCTGTAATCCCAGCACTTTGAGAGGCCAAGGTGGGCGGATCACTTGAAGCTAGGAGTTCAAGAGCAGCCTGGCCGACATGGCAAAACCGTGGCTCTACTAAAACCACAAAACTTAGCCCGGTGTGGTGGTGTGTGCCTGTAGTCCCAGCTATTCGGGAGACTGAGGCAGGAGAAACGCTTGAACTGGGAGGCAAAGGTTTCAGTGAGCCGAGATTGCGCCACTGTACTGTAGCCTGGGCGACAGAGCAAGACCCTGTCTCAAAAAAAAAAAAAAAAAAAAAAGGAAAGCTCTTACTGTCAGCCGGATGCAGTGGCTCACACCTATAATCCCAGCACTTTGGGAGATGGAGGCAGGTGGATTGCTTGAGTCTAGGAATTCAAGACCAGCCTGGGCAATATAGCAGGACTCCCATCTCTACTAAAAATACAAAAATCAGCCAGGCATGGTGGTACGTGCCTGTAGTCCCAGCGGCTCGGGCGGCTGAGGCAGGAGAATTGCTTGAACCCCAGGAGATACACTCCAGCCTGGGTAACAGAGTGAGACCCTGTCTCAAAAAAAAAAAAAAGCTCTTATTGTCTCTGGCTGTCCAGGGAGAGCCTAGCACAACACCTGGTGTGCCAGAAGCAACACTAGTGTCTGCAGTGATAACTCCTTGCCCATGGCCGTTCGGTCCTGCCGGGGGGGAGGTTGGATAAACCCCTCTAAATTTCCAAGAGAGGTGGGCCTGGGACCTTGGCTCCTTGGCGGTGGAGGAAGTACATGTAAATGTTCACCCCCAGCCCCACCCCGGCCTCTGGAGCTGCTGGGGGTAGCCTGGGCCACATGGAGGGGACAGGCTGGATGGTGTCCCAGCTGGGGTGAGGGTCTTCTAGCCAGCGCCTCTTAGGCACTCCCCTGTACCCCCAGCACTCCTGCTAATCACTCAGCAGATGTGCATGAAATTTGACCTGCGCCTGCCCGATAGTGTCTCTGGGTACGAACCTCCCTCCTCACCCTGCAGCGCTGCCCCAGCCTCTCGAAGGTCCCGCTCTGCTGGGGAGGGGAGTGTTTATCCCAAGAGGGCAGGCAGGCTCTGCCTCCACCGGGGGGGATTAGCTCCCCAAGGTTGTGGGTATAAAGCCGCCTGCACACCCTGCTGTTCTGTAGAGGCAGGCAAGGAGCAAAGAGGGCCAGGCAGGCCCCCCTGGATGGGGGGGGCAGGTGGGGTGGGGGGACGAGCACCATGTTCTATGATTGTCTCTTCTCAGCTGCCTGCCAGCGTGAGTACCCGCCTCCCCCACTCCTAGCCCCTGTGGTCCCACCCCACTGAGGACAGGGAGCCGGGAGGGAGGACTTGGCTACAGGCTCTCAAGACCTTCCAGGGAGCACTCCTCTCAGCAGCTTCCACTCCCAGGAAGCCTGGGGTCACCCCAGGGAAGGTGGCCCCAGCACCTCGGTTCTTTCAGCATTGCCAGGACCGTGGAGTGGACAGTCAGTTCCCTGCCTGTCCACAAGTCCTGTCTGCTGGGAAGGGTCCAGTCTTCTGGATCTTGAGCGTCATAGCTCTTCGGTCACCCTCTCTGGTCTGGCTTCGGGATGAGGAAAGCTGATGGGGGCTGCTTCCAGGTATTAAAGATCCTGGTTCCTGCGGGCTCCAGCCCACCCTGCCACGTGGGCCCCTGATGGGTGCAGTCAGCGCCAGCTAGGGGTGAGCAGGACTCCTGGAGGGGCCTGACCTTGCTGGGGGCTGGCTTCAGACTGCATCTTCCTCTCCAGGTGGGCTCAGGCTTAGGCTGGGGGCGGGGACAGCAGGAAGAACTGACCTGGTGGCCCCTCCCTACAGAAGGTGCCATGCGGGCTAGTGAGACGGTGTCAGAGGCCAGCCCTGGCTCCACGGCCAGCCAGACCGGCGTCCCTACTCAGGTGGTTCAGCAGGTGCAGGGCACCCAGCAGGTAGGATATGGCCCTCCCAGGGGGCAGGGGAGGGCCGATGAGGGTGGCAGTGCAGGCTGCGGCCTCGGGGGCCTGGCCTCCCCTCCCTGCTTCCTGCCGGAGCCATCTGCTCACCTGTTCTTATCAAGATGTGCACGGCAGCCACCCTCCACTCACCGCTCCAGGCCTCCCGGGGGAATCAGTGGCTCAGCTCTTCCTGCCTTGTCCCCACAGCGACTGCTGGTCCAGACGAGCGTGCAGGCCAAGCCGGGCCATGTGTCACCCCTCCAGCTGACCAACATCCAAGTGCCCCAGCAGGTAAGGCCACTGCACCTGGCCCCACCCTGGAAGGCTCCCTCAGGGTGGACGACCAGCCCCCTATGGCAAGCCTGGATCTGTCCTCCCCAGGATCGAGGGAAGAGGCCCCATCCAGGGGCTGCCCTGCCTCCTGGCTCTGGGCAGTCACCTCCCCAGGGTGAGACTATCAGGTAGGGGCCATCTCAGCAGAGAGAACAGGTGTAGCCGGGAAGGTGGTTTTCGGGTCCAGCCCGGTGTTCCGAAGCAGTGAACCCACACCAGGTTTAGAGTCAGGTGTCCGTAGCCAGTGCAGGGTGGTCTGTCCCCAAGAAGGCCACAGATGGGGTACAGCACTCACCCGTTTCCAACTGATCAGCGCAGAACTGGACAAAGTACTGTCAAGTTTTTTTGGGTTTTTTTTGAGACAGAGTCTCACTCTGTTGCCCAGGCTGGAGTGCAATGGCGCAATGTTGGCTCACTGCAACCTCCGTCTCCTGGGTTCAAGTAATTCTCCTGCCTCAGCCTCTCAAGTAGTTGGGATTACAGGCATGCGCCATCACGCCTGGCTAATTTATGTATTATTAGTAAAGTCAGGGTTTCACCATGTTGGCCAGGCTGGTCTCAAACTCCTGACCTCAAGCAATCCACCCGCCTTAGGCTCCGAAAGTGCTAGGATTACAGGCATGAGCCACCAGGCCCAGCCTAGTACTGTCGGGTTTTAAGGATGACAGCACATTCCACGTGGCCTGACAACAACTCCAGCTCTGCCACTTCCTGGCTCTAGGACCTCAGATAAGCGCCTTTGCGGTCCTGAGCCTTGGTGTCATCCTCTGTGAAGTGGGGGCAGTAGCTGAGCTGCATTTGGGGCTGTCAGGGTTCTGTGGGCTAACAGGTGTGAAGCACTTACAACATCAGCTGCACTGCACACATGCTCGGTGCACCCGTGCTGGCTGTCATGAGTGATCCACCTCCCTCTCCCTCCCTGGGTCCAGGCTCTCCCCACGCAGCGTCTGGTGGTGCAGAGTGCAGCCCCAGGCAGCAAAGGCGGCCAGGTCTCCCTGACGGTCCACGGCACCCAGCAGGTGCACTCACCCCCGGAGGTAAGTGGTGGCCCTGTCAGCCACCCTCCCCAGTGCTGTCTCCCCAGGTCAGCAGTGTAGCCCCATAGTATATTTGGGGCTCTCTGCCCCCCCAGCCCACTTGCTCCTCCAAAATCCTGCATCCTCTCCACTCCCAGTGTGATGCCCTTGTGGACCCCAGGTAGGGTGGCTTGGCTGCCCAGTTCCTGGCCCTGCCAGCTCTGAGCTAAGCAGCCGTGGAGCTCTGCTATGGGAGAAGGAGGTGACTTCCTGGATTGAGATGACCTGGCAGCACCAGCTCAGGGAACTGCATTCCAGGAAACAAAGCGGGTTCTTCATAGGGGGAGAGTCTCTACCACGAAGCCTCGGACCCCAGGGTAGATTCTGGGGACCAAACACCAAAGAGGGTTTTGAAGACAGGCTGTGGGTGTTGTCTGCACCAGGAGCTCAGGGTCAGATGGCTGGCCCAGCGCACTCACTTCCTCTTCTGGGACTCTGGGCAGGCCTGTGAGCCTTCTTTTGTTTTTTGGTTTTTGTTTGTTTGTTTGTTTTAGACAGAATCTTGCTCTGTCGCTCAGACTGGAGTGCAGTGGTGCTATCTCAGCTCACTGCAACCTCCAACTCCTGGGTTCAAGTGATTCTTCTGCCTCAGCCTCCCAAGTAGCTGGGATTGCAGAGGTCCACCACCAGGCTTGGCTAATTTTTGTATTTTTTGTAGAGACAGAGTTTCACCATGTTGACCAGGCTGGTCTTGAACTCCTGACTTCCTCAGGTGATCTGCCTGCCTTGGCCTCCCAAAATGCTGGGATTGCCAGTATGAGCCATGGCACCTGGCCCCTTTGAGCCTTCTGAGCTCCAAGTTTTCTCCATGTCAAACAGCTGATGGTATAAACCGCCCCTCAGTTTGCTGTGAGAATTGCAGCCTGAGACACAGCGGGGCTCAGAGCCAACACAGGGCTCCATGGCCAGCCTGTCCAGGCCCAGCCCTGTGCCTCACTGCCTGCAGCCATGTCACCTGGGGCTTGTCCCTTCCCTTCTGCGCCTCCATTGGGAAGAGAGGATGCTGTGAGATTCCAGTGAGTACATTTAAAGCCCTCAGCCAGTGTCTGGTAGGAGTCAGCCCAGTATCACACCAGAGGCTGCTGTTGTCATTGCTATAACCTTTGAGGATCAGCCCCAGGAGAGCTTCAGGGGTGTTGCAGGCACCACCTACCATCAGCCATCCTTGCTGGGGAGGGTGAAACCCCAGTCATTGCCAGGAGTTGACTGGGACTGTTGCAGGGAGTAGGCATTTGGATGCATGGGATGTGGTCAGTTACCAGCCTGAGTGTTGGTAATTGCGACAGGTGGTTGGGACAGGTCCTTGCAGGCTGCTACCCTCCCCAGTCAGCTCTCGTGAGAAGGGTGTGTATGAGGGCCCAGGTGCCCCAGAGAGGATGCGAGCCTGCCCCAAAGAGGGTTCGAGCCCTCCCCAGAGAGGATTCAAGCCCACCCCAGCGCACTCCTGTGTCTCCTTCCCTTACAGCAGTCGCCGGTGCAGGCCACCAGCTCTTCCAGCAAGACAGCCGGGGCCCCCACGGGCACAGTGCCACAGCAGCTGCAGGTCCACGGTGTCCAGCAGAGCGTCCCCGTCACCCAAGAGGTGCCAAGCCAAGGCGGGCAGCAGCTCGGGCCAGGGGTCCCGGCCAGGCAGCCTCTGCAGCCCCCCATGGCTGTGCCTCTGGCCTATTAGAGCCCAGCCCCGGCCTGCCACCCAGGCCTTTGATAAGCATCTCTGCCTGTCTCCAGACTCGGCATCTTGGGGCTGGAGGACGGGGATGCCGTGGGGAGTCTGAAATTTGAACTTGTGGCATAGTGGGCCAAGGGAACCTCTGGGAGGAACCACCTTGGCCTCTTTGGGCCCATTTGCCTGAAGGAAGCCCCGAAGCCATGTCCTGGCTTATTCCTGGAAGGGTCATTCCGGGAAGGGTTTGAGGAGGGGATCCCGCCCTCAAATCCATGCTCAGCCTCTGCAGAGGCAGAGCTCTGAGCCGGCTCAGGTTAAGACGCTGGGGCTGCCTGCCACTGGATGTTAGCAATGAAGTTGAGGGGTTCCCAGCCCCTTGAAAAAATAGATGAAATCCATAGATCCTTCCCCAAGTATAAATAGAAACCCTGTCCCAGAGGATTTACAGATACTCTTCTGACTGGCGCTAGAGCCCTCCCAGACCTCCAGATCTGGGTCCAGGCCCGAGCTCCTCCATTCAGCATCCCCCTCAGCCAGCCTCAGTCTGGTTCTGCGCCCCTAGGATAATCCCTGCATCCCTGCCACGGCACAGAACAAGGCAGAGAGTTGACATGGGAAGGATGCGGGGACAAAATATAACCAAGGCCATGCCTGTGGGTTCTTGGCACAGCTTCAGGGGCCTGTAGGGAAAGGAGGCAGAGAGCAGAGACCCCTCAGTCCCAGGTTCAATTCAGCCTGGCAGCCTCACTTTGCCCCTGTAAGTGGGTGCCCGTTAGTAATGGACCGGGACGTGCTTGGTGCTGGGCACGGCACCCTCCCTGTTTGGCTGGAGAATGGCAGCCTCTTGCTTGCCGGGCTGCTGTGAGGTTACAGAAGCTCACCTGTGCAGGGGCTGGGCGGGTTGACAGCCATCGTTCTCATGGTCATCTTAACGTTCCCTTTCCCTTTCCAGAGGTCTGTGGTCCAGGCCACTCCACAAGCGCCCAAAGCCGGCCCGGTGCAGCCACTGACCGTGCAGGGCCTCCCGCCAGTCCACGTGGCTCAAGAGGTGTGTGTCCCGCTCCTACCCCAGGGAAAAACGGACTGGTCCCGGGCTGGGGCTGGGGAGTGCAGGCCCCTGAGGCCGCAGGGAGGGAAATGCCTCTGTGAGCTGCAGACCCTGCCCTAGATCTTTCCCCTTTCCCGGCCCCCTGGCAGCTCAGGGCCCAGGTTTTGCTAAGAGAGGTCTGGATTCGAATCCCGCTTCATTCTTGCGTGGGCGTGGGTCAGTTCTTCCCCTCTCCAAGACCCCGGGCGGCAGGGAATCTTCCCTCGGGTGGCTGCGTGCGCGCTCAGCAACCCGGTGGGTGGAGGCCTGGAGCCGCGCCCGCGGCCGCCCCTGTTGACCCCACAGTGTCTCTGTTTGTCCTCCAGAGCTCAGGCAGTCAGTTTCCCGCTAGGAAGGCAGAGCAGCGAGATCCCCGGCCCACGCCGCCGCCGGAGCCGCCGCCCCGGCCGCCCGCGTGCAGCGGCGAGGCCCAGCAGCTAGGCAGCCCCGAGCTGCCGCCGCCCTATTACGAGCCGGGCACCGAGCAGTGGGTGGAGCTGGTGGGCGTGCTGCCCCCGCACCTGCTCCTGCCGCAGCAGAAAGTGGTCTTCGAGCCACTGCCCCGGCTCCCGGCCCGAGCCAGCCCCGACCAGAGGGTCAGGATCCAGAGAATCCCCCAGGTGCTAGTGTTCGGCACGGCCGCCACGGCCCTCAAAGTAGGTGGCGGACGCACGGACGGGGGGCAGCGGGCGGGCAGGGGCGGGGGCGCCCGGTCCGGGCCGCCCACCAGGCCCCGCAAGCCCTGTAGACCCCACCTCCGCCCAACGGGTCGGTCTGGGGACACGCCTCTGACTTCCCACCCAAGCCCTATCCTGGTCCCAGCTCCGCCCCTGCAGACGCGGGTTGAGGGATGGAGGTGGGGGACTCAGGCCCCGCCCCTAAGGCCCTGTCAGTGATTCCAGGTTGTTTCCCACCAACCAGGACCCCAGGCTCCGCCCCTTACATCCTGTGCCCGGTTTCCAGGCCCCGCCCCTGAGGCCTTCGGGCTCTGTAGCTTCGGGCTCTGGCTCCAGGCTCCATCGACAGCCTTGCCCCTGTGCCTGGGGTCCAGCCTTAACGCCCACTGCAGGACCCTGTCTCGCATCCACTCCACTACCCGTCATGCCCCACCCTTGCTGGCCCCAGCCGAAGCCGCGTCCTGGCTTCTGCTTCTGAAATAGCCTTTCCTGATTCCCAGCCCTGGCGCAGGTAGCAGCCCCTGGGCCTCTGACCCCAGGCCTCCTCCAGGGTGTTTTGTTCAGAGCCCAGAGCTGCCCTTGAGTCCGGGAGCTGGGCGTCAGGGAGAGCCTGGGTGGGCACCAGCCCTTTAGAGGCGGAACGGGAGGAGCTGGCCCACCTTGACCCTCCATGTGCCCTTCCTCTGCCCCAGGTGCAGCAGCTCCAGCAGGTGCCCGTCCCACACGTGTACTCCAGCCAGGTGCAGTATGTGGAGGGCGGTGACGCCAGCTACACGGCCAGTGCCATGTAAGTGAGGGGAGGGGGTGGGTGAGGGGCTCGGGTCAGCACAGGACCTTCCCCAGGCTCCCAGGACAGCAGGCCCCAGTGCCAGCCCCCAGCAGGCCAGTTGGCCTTCAAGCCCTTAGGAGACAGACACTCAGGTGGCACTCCCCAGGGGCAGCCACAGCCAGGAAAAGTGGCAAAGCAGAGGGACCCTCGAAGGTTAGGGTCCCTGGCATAGCTTAGGGCTTGGGAGTCATATGAGCCCGGTTTTTAACCAAAAAAAAAAAAAAAGGCCAGGCATGATAATTCAACCTGTGTAATCCTAGCACTTTGGGAGGCCTCAGTGGGTGGATCAGTTGAGGTCAGGAGTTCAAGACCAGCCTGGCTACCATGGTGAAATTCCGTCTCTACAAAAATTAGATGGGCGTGGTGGCAGGTACCTATAATCCCAGCTACTTGGGAGGCTGAGGCAGGAGAATCACTTGAACCCAGGAGGTGGAAGTTGCAGTGAGCTGAGATTGTGCCACTGCGAGATTCTGTCTCAAAAAGAAAAAAATGATTTGACTTCCAACCCTGTCCCAGAGGGAATGCTGTGACCCATTTCTTTGTTTCCTTCCGGTGATACTCCAAGAATAGAAACTCTATCCCTCTACCCATTTTTTTTTTTCTTTTTTTTCTTTTTTTTGTGACGGGGTCTCACTCGTCACCTAGGCCAGAGTACAGTGGTGCAATCAGGGCTCACTGCAGCTTATGGGCTCAAGTAATGCTCTGACCTCAGCCTCCCTGGTAGCTGGGACTACAGGTGTGCAGCTCCACGCTCAGCTAATTTTTGTATTTTTGTAGCGATTGGGTTTTGCCATGTTGCCCAGGCTCATCTCCTTGAACTCTTGGACTCAAGTCATTTTCTCCTCTTAGACTCCCAAAGTGCTGGCATTACAGGCATGAGCCATGCCCGGCCTCTACCCTCTTTCTTTGGTCAGAAATAGAGGCAGGCATTCCATCCATACCTTGTTTCTTTCCTGGCTCTTCTCCCACGTGTCCTCATGGGTCCCAGTCACCCTCTTAGCTGCTGTGTAATAATCCTGTGTGGATGCAGCAGCCACTATATCGTCAGTCCCCACCCAGTGGCGCGTCGGGGACTTCCCCTCCCTGAGTGCAGCACTACCATTCCAGTGAGTGGGCCGCGTCAGGCAGGTGCCACGTCCGGGCCCCGCGTCAGCCCCAGCTCTGGCTCCTCGCTGGGGGTCCTCCCTGCCACCTTCCCTCTCCCATCTCCACAGCAATTACTGCAGTATTATAATTACTGTTGGTTTAGTTTCTAGAAGTTTCACTTGGTTTTCTTTGCATTTGCATGATTTCTTTTTTCGTCCCTGCCACTTGTTCTTCTGGGGACAATGCTGGGATTGGTTAGCTCATGGATTGACTGAGTCCTAAGGTCATGAGGCTCTGACTGACCCCCGGGGCATGGTCCAGGCACCTGAATTGTGAGGCTTGGTCCCCACCATCGGGCTGCCTCACAGTTCCATCCGTTTATTTCCAGTGCTGCTAATCTTTTCATTGTGTGGTTGACCCAAGCTGGCAAGGGCCAGACAGGGCGTTGCAAAGAGGAGACCAGCTCCTGCTGGCATCCCTGGGAGCGCCTCTCTTATCTCTCCTTTGCTTCCGTCCGAACTCCTCACTCAATGATTGTAGTGTGTCATTGTACTTAGTTCATCATTGCTATTGGATTTTCCTGCTATGTAAAGTTGTTGGGGGCCACTCCTCCTGTGAACCGTCCACTCCTGTTTCTTCCTCTGAGTGAATTACTGCTGAGTTCCTGACCCTTTGCCAGCCTGATCCCCACCCTGGCCAGATCCACAGCCCCTGGGCCTCCCTCCCTGGTTCTGCTCTGGGGGGCATCCAGAACCACACACATTCATTTATTGAGGCATTCAGCAACCGGCAACCGAAGCAACATTTTTGCAGCATGCGTTGCATGCTGGGTGTGCAGGGGTGAGCAGGCTGCGGCCCCTGCCTTGGAGAAGTGGGGGCACTTGCTCAGGTCATGTGCTCTTGGTGTCACTTTGTGTGGTAGACATAGGGCAGGGCAGAGAGATTGAGAGCTGGACCTGGTGTCTGACGAAGACCATGCTTCCATATCTCCTTCCACTGTCCTCCTCAGCTCCCTCTCCTTGTCCTCCCACAACCACTCAGGCCTGCAGAGCTCTGTCCCTTGCCACTTTCAGAGTCTGAGCCGGGTCACCTCTTGACTAACCTCACTGTCTTTCTGGATGTTAAATTTTTTTTGAGATGGAGTTTTGCTCTGTTGCCCCGGCTTGGCACAATCTCTGCTCACTGTAACCTCCGCCTTCAGGGTTCAAGCAATTCTCCTGCCTCAGCCTCCCAAGTCGCTGGGATTACAGGCATGCGCCACCACACCCGGCTAATTTTTTGTATTTTGTATTTATTTATTTTTTAAAAATAGAGACAGAGTTTCACCATGTTAGCCGGGCTGGTCTCGAACTCCTGACCTCAGGTGATCTGCCTGCCTCGGCCTCCCAAAGTGTTGGGATAATAGGCATGAGACACCATGCCCGGCATATTTTTTTTTTATTTAATTTTTTGTATTTTTTTTTTTTTTTTTGAGACGGAGTTTCGCTCTTGTTACCCAGGCTGGAGTGCAATGGCGCGATCTCGGCTCACCGCAACCTCTGCCTCCTGGGTTCAGGCAATTCTCCTGCCTCAGCCTCCTGAGTAGCTGGGATTACAGGCACACGCCACCATGCCCAGCTAATTTTTTGTATTTTTAGTAGAGACAGGGTTTCACCATGTTGACCAGGATGGTCTCGATCTCTTGACCTCGTGATCCACCCGCCTCGGCCTCCCAAAGTGCTGGGATTACAGGCTTGAGCCACCGCGCCCGGCCAATTTTTTGTATTTTTTAGTAGAGACGGCGTTTCACCATTTCACCGTGTTGGCCAGGCTGGTCTTGAATTCCTGACCTCAAGTGATCCACACACCTCAGCCTTCCAAAGTGTTGGGATTACGGGAGTGAGCCACTACACCTGGCTTAATGCTATGTGTTTAATCACTAATACATTGAAAGAGTTCAAAAATCAAGACTACGTCCAAGGACGTTTAGTGAGATGGTGAGAGGTGCCCCGCGCCTGTCTCCTGTCCACCGAGCCCTCCATGCCCACAGATGACAGACATGCAGACATGCATATGAAACATGACACAGTCTTCCCTGTCATTCAGTCACACCGTCCCCACCCTTCTCTGCCTTTTATCTGCCCAGTGGTCGGTTCTGGAACTTGTTCTTTCGGAGGACCGAAACCCCTGCCTCCTCTTTCACCCCTGCCCAGGATTCCATCATCTTTTATTTAACAGCCCCTTGAGGTTGAATCCCTGGTGGTTTTTATGTTGTGACGATTTGCAGCCTCGAGTCTGTGTGCCCGGTGCCCGTTCTGTCCCTGGATAGCTGAATGAGAGAGAATTCACCAGCCTGGATAGGTAGCTTGGCTCAGGGGAAATATCTGCATTCTTGTTGGTCTCTTCCAATCACAGCGTCGCCTTCTCTAGTCCACTCCAATCACAGCGTCACCTTCTCTAGCCCTGCCCACTGCCCGATTCACTCACCCCATCACCTTCTGTGTGATCTCTCACTTACTTTGCACATGGCTTCTTGTCTGTCTCCCCGACTAGACCCCAGCTCCTCCAGGGGTAGGGGCTTTTCATTCTTGTCCATTGCTATGTCCAAAGTGTGTCAAATAGTGCCTGGCACACAGTAGGCACTCGAAGCACTCGCCCATTTTATTTTTATAATGAAGTATGTAGCATTGCAAGTTCCCTACCCCTTCAGTATTTTTTTTTTAAATTTAAAAAGGCAGGGTCGTCCAGGTGTGGTGCCTCATGCCTATAATCCCAGCACTGTGGGAGACAAGTGGGTGGATCACTTGAGGTCAGGGGTTCAAGACCAGTCCCGCCAACATGGTGAAACCCCGACTCTACTAAAAAAAAAAAAAATACAAAATTTAGCTGGGCCTGGTGGCATGCACTTGTAGTTCCAACTCTTCCAGAGGCTGAGGCAGGAGGATCGCTTGAACCCTAGAGGTAAAGGTTGCAGTGAGTCAAGATCAGGCCACTGCACTCCAGCCTGGCTCAAAAAATAAATAAGTAAATAAAAGAATAAAAATAAAAAGCCAGGGTCTTGCTGTCAAATAGGCTTCAAAGCAGTGGTGGCGTGGTTATAGCTTACTACAGCCTCGAACTCCTGGACTGAAGGGATCTTCCTGCCTCAGCCTCCCAAGTAGCTGGGATTGCAGGTGTACACCACCACCCCTGGCTAATCTTTATATTTTTTGTAGAGATAGGGTCTCACTATGTGGCTTAGGCTAGTCTTAAGCTCCTGGCCTCCAACGAAGCTTCTGCCTCTGTTTCCAAAGACTACAGGCAGGAGCTGCCATGCCCGGCCAAGTCCCCTAGTCTTTCTATCCCGATTTCCAAATTTCCCAAGTGGAGAAGGTGACTCCACTGCCAAAGGACTGGCTGCTTTGGCGATTGTATGAAATATTGCCCATCAGGCACTCAGGATGGTACCCAGTCCATTGTAGGTGAATGCCAGGATCTTGTCCTGGTGTGGGGGAGCTGCTGCTTTCCCAGTCCCCTCCTGGCACCCCCACTTCCTGCACAGTCATGCCCCTCGGCCCCCCAGTTCTCATCCCCCTGACTGTTCTCCGGCTTTGCCTCTTTCCCAGCCGTTCCAGCACCTACCCCTACCCCGAGACGCCGCTGTACACACAGACGGCAAGCACCAGCTACTATGAGGCCGCAGGCACGGCCGCCCAGGTCAGCACCCCCGCCACCTCCCAGGCGGTGGCCAGCAGCGGCTCCATGCCCATGTACGTGTCTGGCAGCCAGGTCGTCGCCAGCTCTACCAGCACTGGGGCTGGGGCCAGCAACAGCAATGGAGGTGGTGGCAGTGGCGGTGGCAGCAGCGGCGGGGGAGGTGGTGGCGGGGGTGGAAGTGGCAGCACCGGAGGCGGCAGCGGCGGAGCAGGCACCTATGTGATCCAAGGCGGCTACATGCTGGGCAGTGCCAGCCAGTCTTACTCCCACACCACCCGTGCCTCGCCAGCCACGGTAAGTGCCCCAGCCTGGGCCCCAGAGGAGACAGGTGGTGGTGGGTGGTGGGCACTTGAAGCTCAGTTTATGATGGCAGCTGCCAGCCAGCGTTAGCAGGAGTCTGTGTGCCCCCCAATGAGCACATACGCAGATGTCTTGGGATTGAATGCTATGTGGCCTCAGATAAATTACTCAGCCTCTCTGGCCCTCAGCTGATATGCATGAAGTTCCTAGAACATGACCACAGTTGGCTGGGCGCAGTGGCTCACACCTGTAATCCCAGGACTTTGGGAGGCTGAGGTGGGTGGATGAGGTGAGGTCAGAAGTTCAAGACCAAGCCGGGCGCGGTGGCTCAAGCCTGTAATCCCAGCACTTTGGGAGGCCAAGGCGGGTGGATCACGAGGTCAAGAGATCGAGACCATCCTGGTCAACATGGTGAAACCCCATCTCTACTAAAAATACAAAAAAATTAGCTGGGCATGGTGGCGCGTGCCTGTAATCCCAGCTACTCAGGAGGCTGAGGCAGGAGAATTGCCTGAACCCAGGAGGCAGAGGTTGCGGTGAGCTGAGATCGTGCCATTGCACTCCAGCCTGGGTAACAAGAGCGAAACTCCGTCTCAAAAAAAAAAAAAAAAAAAAAAAAAAAAAGTTCAAGACCAGCCTGGCCAACATGGTGAAACTCCATCTGTACTAAAAATACAAAAACTAGCCAGGAATGGTGGCAAGTGCCTGTAATCCTAGCTACTCAGGAGTCTGAGGCACAAGAATTGCTTCAACCTGGGAGGCAGAGGTTGCAGTGAGCCAAGATTGTGCCACCGCACTCCAGCCTGGGAGACAGGTTGTCTATTCTTTTTATTCTTTTTTCTTTTCTTTTCTTTTCGAGCCAGAGTCTTGCTCTGTCACCCAGGCTGGAGTGGTATAATCATAGCTCAATGCAGCCTCAAACTCCCAGGCTCAAGTGATCCTCCCAGCTTACCCTCCCAAGTAGCTGGGACTACAGGCATGCACTACCATGCCTGGCTAATATTTTTTTTTTTGAGATGGAGTCTCGCTGTCTCGCCAGGCTGAGACACAGTGCATGATCTCGGCTTACTGCAACCTCCACCTCCTGTGTTCAAGGGATTCTCTTGCCTCAGCCTCCCAAGTAGCTGGGACTACAGGCGCGTGCCACCACACCCAGCTAATTTTTGTACTTTTAGTAGAGACGAGGTTTCGCCACATTGGCCGGGATGGCCTCAATCTCTTAACCCTGTGATCCACCCACCTTTGCCTCCCAAAGTGCTGGGATTACAGGCATGGGCCACCATGCCTGGTTTCGATTTTTAAAAATTTTTTTGTGGAGACAGGATCTCACTCTGTTGCCTAGGCTGGTCTCAAAATCCTGGCCTCAGGCAATCCTCCAACCTTGGCCTCCCAAAGTGCTGTGATTATTCTGATTAAAATTGATAACAGAGAAGAGATAATGCGGGAGAAGCCAGCACTGCCATGTGGAGCTTCCAGAACAGGTTTCTCCGCCATCTGGAAGGGTGGTACTGGAACTCCTTGTGCCAAGAAGTGGCTTCATGAAGTCCTTGGGGCAGCCTTAAATTCCAGCCCCAACTGGGCCCCTCGACAATTGTGTGACTGTGGGGTGGGTCAGTGCTGGTGGTCCTGGTGTCCCTCTTGGTCCTGATGTAGCCTGGCTTCTGTCCATTCTAGTCTTTTTTTTTTTTTTTTCTTTTTTGGAGATGGAGTTTCACTCTTGTCACCCAGGCTGGAGTGCAGTGGTGCAATCTCAGCTCACTGTAACCTCCCCACCTTCCAGGTTCAAGCAATTTTTGTGCCTCGGCCTCCAGGGTAGCTACAATTAAAGGCGCCTATCACCACATCCAGCTAATTTTTTTGTTTGTTTGTTTTTTTTTTTTTGAGACAGAGTCTCGCTCTGTTGCCCAGGCTGGAGTGCAGTGGTGCAGTCTTGGCTTATTGCAACCTCCGCCTCCCAGGTTCAAGATGTTCTCCTGCCTCAGCCTCCCAAGAGACTGGAACTACAGGCGCCTGCCACACGCCATTCTAATTTTTTGTATTTTTAGTAGAGATGGGCTTTCACCATGTTGGCCAGACTTCAGGTGATCTGCCCACCTCAACCTCCCAAAGTGCTAGGATTACAGGTGCGAGTCAATCGCTCCTGGCTTGGAGATTTGCTTTTTCTCACTCTGCATAAATTAACATAATTTTTTTTTTTTGAGACAAGGTCTGACTGCTACCCAGGCTGGAATGCAGTGGCTCAATCATAGCTCACTGCAGCCTTCAACTTCTGAGCTGAAGGGATCCTCCTGCCTCAGCCTCCCAAATAGCTGGGACTGCAGGCACGCACCACAACACTGGCTAATTTTTTTTTTTTTTTGAGACTGAGTTTCGCTCTTGTTACCCAGGCTGGAGTGCAATGGCGCGATCTCGGCTCACCGCAATCTCCACCTCCTGGGTTCAGGCAATTCTCCTGCCTCAGCCTCCCGAGTAGCTGGGATTACAGGCACGTGCCACCATGCCCAGCTAATTTTTTGTATTTTTAGTAGAGACGGGGTTTCACCATGTTAACCAGGATGGTCTCGATCTCTTGACCTCGTGATCCACCCACCTCGGCCTCCCAAAGTGCTGGGATTAACAGGCGTGAGCCACTGCGCCTGGCCAATTTTTTTTTTTTTAAAACAGTCTCACTTTTGTCGCAGTCTTGCAGTGGTGAAATCTCGGCTCACTGCAACCTTTGCCTCCCGGTTTCAAGCGATTCTCCTGCCTCAGCCTCCTGAGTAGCTGGGACTACAGGCATGTGCCACTGCACCTGGCTATTTTTTTTTTTTTTTTTTTGTATTTTTAGTAGAGACAGGGTTTCTCCATGGTCACCAGGCTGGTTTCGAGCTCCTGACCTCAAGTGATCCACGTGTCTCAGCCTTCCAAAGTGCTGGGATTACTGGCATGAGCCACTGTGCCTGGCTGACACTGGCTAATTTTTTAAAAAATTCTTTGGTAGAGACAGGGTCTCCCTATGTTGCCCAGGCTGAACTCAAGTGATCCTCCCACCTTAGCCTCCCAAAGTGCTGGAACTATAAGGGGCAAGCCGCCGTGCCCGTCCCTTAATGTTTTTAACTAGCTGCACGTGGCAAGTGTATAGGACAGTGCAGCTCTGGAGAGTTCTGTGGGACGTAGTTCCTGGGGAGGATGGCAGTAGGATGTGCTAACCTATGGTGGGTGTGGCTGTCAGGATCCCAGCTGGAAGTCGATACAGGGCACTCAGCCACAGCACTCAGAGATGACGGAAGCACCGACCGGCGCTCTCCCTTCTCCCTCCGGCCCCAGGTTCAGTGGCTCTTGGACAACTATGAGACGGCCGAGGGCGTGAGTCTGCCACGGAGCACCCTCTACTGCCACTACCTTCTGCACTGCCAGGAGCAGAAGCTGGAGCCCGTCAACGCCGCCTCCTTCGGCAAGCTTATCCGCTCCGTCTTCATGGGTCTGCGAACCCGCCGTCTGGGCACCAGGTAGGGCCATCCGTCTACTCCCAGCAGCCCCTGGGGAATCGGGGGGCACACTGAGACCCACCCCCACTCCAGGTCATCTCAGACACTCCAGCCCAGCCCAGCCCAGCCCATCCCCACCGCCTCCACAAGGTTCCTTTACACAGCCGCTGACTCCCACCCCAGGGCCTTTGCACTGGCGGTGCCTTCCACCTCATGTGCTTCTAACCCCATCCTACTCACGCATCCCCTGGCGGCCTCAACTTAAACTGCAGCCTTCCTCTGTCCTGGCCTGTCACCCCCAACCCTGCTTCATTTTTCTCCTTAGCCTTGAGCACCCTCACACCTGCCTTTTTTTTTTTGGGAGACAGAGTCTCACTCTGTGGTCCAGGCTGGAGTGCAGTGACTCAATCTCGGCTCACCAAAACCTCCGCCCCCCCGGGTTCAAGCAATTCTCTGGAGTAGTTTCAGCATCTTGTGTAGTTTGGGACTTAACAAGCAATGCACAACCATGCCCAGCTAATTTTTTTGTTTTGTTTTTTTTGAGATGGTGTCTCTGTCGCCCAGGCTGGAGTGCAGTGGTTTGATTTTGGTTCACTGTAACCTCCACCTCCTGGGTTCAAGCAATTCTCCTGCCTCAGCCTCCTGAGTAGCTGGGATTACAGGCAGGCACCACCATGCCTGGCTAGTTTTTATATTTTTAGTAGAGATGGGGTTTCACCATGTTGGCCAGGCTGGTCTCAAACTCCTGACCTCGTGATCCACCCCCCTCACTGGCCAGGCTGGTCTCAAACTCCTGACCTTGTGATCTGCCCACTTCGGCCTCCGTAAGTGCTGGGATTACAGGCGTGAGCCACCGCACCCGGCTAGCCCAGCTAATTTCCAAAAAATATTTTTAGTAGCCAGGCGAGGTGGCTGATGCCTGTAATCCAAGCACTTTGGGAGGCCGAGATGGACGGATCACAAGGCCAGAAGATCGAGACCATCCTGGCTAACATGGTGAAACCCTGTCTCTACTAAAAATACAAAAAATTAGCCGAGCGTGGTGGCAGGCACCTATAATCCCAGTAGGAGGCTGAGACAGGAGAATTGCTTCAACTCAAGAGGCAGAGGTTGCAGTGAAGCTGAGAGCATGCCACTACACTCCAGCCTGGGTGACAGTGTGAGTGTGACTCTGTCTCCAAAAAAAAAAAAAAATTATTTTTAGTAGAGGCAGGGTTTCTCTATGTTGACGAGGCTCGTCTCGAACTCCTGTCCACAAATGATCCACCTGCCTTGGTCTCCGAAAGTGCTGGGATTACAGCCATGAGTCACCACGCCCAGTCCGCACGTGCCATTTACGTGACTTGTTTCAGATTGTTCTGGTCCGTCTGCAATGCTCGTACCTTGATGATGCGGGGTTGAACCTAGTCAGTGCTAAATCAGAGCCTGTGAATCAGTGAATTCACGTGGGAAGGAACAAGGAGCCATCTGCCCCTCTCTTCCTCTCCTTTGCAACCCCATGGCTGCCCCCTGCTCATCTCTTGGTTCCTGTTCCCAGGTTCAGTGTCACCCCATTCAGTCATTGATACCCACTGCCCCTGTGCCTCTTCAGTACAGCATCCCCAGCTCTGCAGGGCAGGGTTCTCTCCATCTGTCCCCCTAATAGAGAAGATGGGTATGCTGTGAGGCACTCCATACCCTGCTAGCCAGCAGACCCCTAGCCCAGCCCTTACCCTCCACCTTCCTCCCAGGGGCAACTCCAAGTACCACTACTATGGCCTGCGAATCAAGGCCAGCTCACCCCTGTTGCGGCTGATGGAGGACCAGCAGCACATGGCCATGCGGGGCCAGCCCTTCTCACAGAAGCAGAGGTAAGAGAGCAGGGCTGGACCCGGGGCAGAGGAGGCAGGGAAGGACATGCAGGCCATCCCCCAGCTGGCCCGCCTGCCCATTCTCCTCCAGGCTCAAGCCTATCCAGAAGATGGAAGGCATGACCAACGGCGTGGCGGTAGGGCAGCAGCAGAGCACAGGGCTGTCGGACATCAGTGCGCAGGTGCAGCAGTACCAGCAGTTCCTGGGTGAGAGCTCCCGCCCCCACCTGTGCAGGCGGCTCCCAAAGCCAGGTGGCAGCCTCTGAGCCAGGGGAGGGCTTGGTGAGAGATGCCTGAGGACCAGCAGGGGTTGCGTGAGACATCACAGTCTCTGTCCACAGTGACAATTCTGTCTCCAGAATTTTTCTTCAAGGTAGATTCTCATTTCTTTCAATGCAAAGCATTTCTCTGGGGTTCTGGGCTTTCTAGTCAATCCCCTTTTGCTACATGAGATTTTATTTTATTTTTGAGATGAAGTCTCGCTCTGTCACCCAGGCTGGAGTGTAATGGCCTGATCTCAGCTCACTGCAATCTCCACCTCCCAGGTTCAAGCGATTTCTCCTGCCTCAGCCTCCTGAGTAGCTGGGATTACAGGCACCTGCCACCACCCATAGCTAATTTTTTTATTTTTAGTAGAGACGGGGTTTTACCATGTTGGTCAGGCTGGTTTCGAACTCCTGACCTCGTGATCCGCCTGCCTCAGCCTCCCAAAGTGCAGGTGTGAGCCATCGCACCCAACCGAGATTTTATTTTTTAATTTTTGTTTTTATTTTTTGAGACAGATTCTCTCTGTTGCCGAGGCTAGAGTGCAATGGCACCATCCTGGCTCACCACAACCTCCACCTCCTGGGTTCAAGCGATTCTCCTGCCTCAGCCTCCTGAGTAGCTGGGACTATAGGCATGTGCAACCATGCTCGGTTAATTTTGGTATTTTTAGTAGAGATGGGGTTTCACCACATTGGCTAGGCTGGTCTTGAACCCCTGACTTCAAGTGATTCTCCCCGCTTGGCCTCCCAAAGTGCTGGGATTACAGGCCTGAGCCACCGCACCTGACCTACATGAGATTTCAGATCCTACCCAGATGGACATGGTTACTTGTTAGAGATGTGATGGGGCAGGTCCTCCTCCTTCGTGAGTCCTGTGGAGGCCGCTCCTTTTCCCATCTAGGTATCCCACAGCCATGGTGTCCATGAGGGGGGCGGGAGGGGGGGCAAGTGCCATGCTAGGACCACTCACTCGCTCAGAAGGCAGGTGTGTACCCAGTGTTTCTAAAAGTAAGCTTTAAAAAAAAAAAAAAAAGGCCAGGTACGGTGGCTCACATCTGTAATCCCAGCACTTGGGGAGGCTGAGGCAGGAGGAATCGTTTGAGGTCAAGAGTTCGAGACCAGCCTGGCCAACATGGTGAAACTCTGCCTCTACTAAAAATACCAAAATAAGCCAGGCGTGGTGGTGGGTGCCTGTAATTCCAGCTACTCAGGAGGCTGAGGCAGGAGAACTGCTTGAACAAGGGAGTGAGCCTTGATCACTGGTAGCAGTGAGCCAAGATCGTGCCACTGCATTCCAGCCTGGGTGACAGAGTGAGTGAAACTCTGTCTCAAGAAAATAAAAAAGGCCAGGTACAGTGGCTCATGCATGGAATCCAATCATTTTGGAAGGCCAAGGCGGGAAAAATTGCTTGTCCAGGAGTTTGAGACCAGACTGGGCGACATAGCAAGATCCCTCCCCTCCCTTTAAAAAAAAAAAAAAAAAGACAAAGTAAAAATCCATGAAAACAAGGCCAAAGGATGCTAAGTAAACAAGCAAACCCTTGGAGCTCATAGTCCAGCCACACATCCTCAATCCTGAGCACATAACAACTAATTTCCTCATCTGCTTAGGAGGCCTCGATGTCCTACGTGTCCCTTCTGTGCCTGGGGACCTAGAGGAGGGTGGAGAACAATTCTTTTGGCAGAGTTGAGGGGGCATCCCCAGGGTGACTCTCCATGGCTAGTCCCCACTTGGGGGCAGAGTCCTGTGGTCCTGACTGCACCCTGGGGGCCACCCACTCCCTGGCCAGGTGGGTGCAGGGTTGCAGCCGAGACTCAAAGGCCCGTGTCCTGAGGGCTGGTACAAGACCCTCCTGTCCTCTCTGCCAAAGGAGCATGGGCTCTCAAGTTCTCCCTGTCCTCGGCCCCTCGCCAGGCACTCGCCTCCTCCCCCGCCACCATGCTTTGTCCCTCACAGGCACATGGGGGACCCCGGCCTGGCGGAAAGGTGGTGACAACTCAGTGGGACCCCAGGGTGGGCCGGCAGGTGGGACAAAGGGCCTCATGGTTTTCCCCGGCCCCCAGATGCCTCTCGGAGCCTCCCTGACTTCACAGAGCTCGACCTCCAGGGCAAAGTGCTGCCCGAGGGTGTCGGACCTGGGGACATCAAAGCCTTCCAGGTCCTGTACCGGGAACACTGTGAGGTAGGGCGGCCAGGTGGGCAGGCGAGTGGGCGGGGATGCGGCCACAGCATGAGAGGGCCACACTGCCGCCAGCCTCCCTGAGCCTTCGCCTCTGCCGCAGGCCATCGTCGATGTCATGGTGAACCTGCAGTTCACCCTGGTGGAGACGCTGTGGAAGACCTTCTGGAGGTACAACCTCAGCCAGCCCAGCGAGGCGCCGCCACTGGCCGTGTGAGTATTGCCCAGCGACACGGGAAGGGCTGGGGGGAGGAGGGCATGACCCCCAGATGATTTTGATACCCAGGGTTGGGGCACCTGGGTTGTCCCCTGCAGTTTCTGGGGTGCACATGCCCCTGACTGTGTAGAATGTGTGTGTGTAACCGCCCAGCGCTCAGGGCCAGGGGTGGCGTGCCTGAGCAAGCCCACACGTGGGGCACGGCACCATCCCTGCCTAGAGTGGTGGGTTCTGGGATCTGTTTGACCCCTGGATCCCATCCCACCCCTTGGGCCTGTGCCAGCCGGACCCTGGGGATCCTTGGGAGGCAGGGGTGCTTACCTGACCCTGGGCAGGGGATGGGGGTACCTGTGCACTTCTGACACTGGGGGCAGGGCCACAGACTGCCCCAGTGACCCTGGCTTGGGGACAGGGTGTACTTGTGCTGTTATAGCACTTGGGACAGGACCATAGAGTGCCCCAGTGACCCAGGGTTGGGGTTAGGGGGTACCTGTGCCTTCTGACGCTGGGAGTAGAAATACAGAGTGCCCCAGTGACCCTGGGTTGGGAACAAGGGGGTACCTGTTCCCTTCTGACAATGGAGTCAGGACCGTAGAGTGCCCCAGTGACCCGGGGTGGGGTGGGTACCCACAGGCATGACGAGGCCGAGAAGCGGCTGCCCAAAGCCATCCTGGTGCTCCTCTCCAAGTTTGAGCCCGTGCTCCAGTGGACCAAGCACTGTGACAACGTGCTGTACCAGGGCCTGGTGGAAATTCTCATCCCCGACGTGCTGCGGCCCATCCCCAGTGAGTGCTCGGCCTCCTTGGCATCCCCTGGCACACACATGCCCACCCTGCCCTGACCGCCCCCTCATTGCCTCCGCCCACAGGTGCCTTGACCCAAGCAATCCGGAACTTTGCCAAGAGCCTGGAGAGCTGGCTCACCCACGCCATGGTCAACATCCCCGAGGAGATGCTGCGGGTGAAGGTGAGGGTGTGGAGGGTCCCTTCCTCCTAGCTCTGGGGCTTAGGCCTCGTCTCCTCTGCTCCCAATGGCAGGAAGATTTGTTCCCACACCTGTTTTGGGGATGCTGCCCGTCAGGAAAGGGGAAGTCTCCTCTGCCTTGGGGAGTGCCCTGGGTGTCGTCTTTATAAACCAGTGTCCTCCAGCACCCACTTCTGAAATGCAAACTTTTTGTGGTGGTATTGTACTCAACACAGCATCTTTAAAAAATAAAAACCAACTGCAAATGTACAGTAGTTCCCTATTCAGACAAGCCTTGCTAGAAAGTGCCCCAGGTGTGCAGAAAGAGAAGCTTCAGAAAGCCGACAGCATCTGTAAGGAAACGTAATACTTGTCGTTTTCATCAATACTGCACATTCGCTGACTACTTAGATGTTAGGAGTTTGGTGGGATGTGCTTGGGCAACAAAACGAAACAAAAAGCCGCCACTGGACACAGGGCGGAGACGGGCCTGCGGAGACAGCAGACGCCAGAACCAGGAGAAGAACCGGCAAGACTCACGCATTCATGTATTCACCCAACCTCCTTCTCATACACAGCAATGAACCAGGTGGACAAAACCCCGGTCCTCTCCCAAGCTGAGATTCCAGGGTATGAAAGAAAACGAGGCGGAGCGCAGTGGCTCATGCCGTAATCCCAGCACTTTGGGAGGCCGAGCCAGGCAGATTACTTGAGGTCAGATCAATCGAGACCAGCCTGGCCAACATGGTGAAACCCCTTCTCTACTTAAAATATAAAAATTAGCCAGGCATAGTTGTGTGTGTGCCTGTGGTCCCAGCTCCTCAGGAGGCTGAGGCACAAGAATCGCTTGAACCCGGGAAGCAGAGGTTGCAGTGAGTCAAGATTATGTCACTGCACTCCAGCCTGGGTGACAGAGGGAGATTTCTGAGACTCAGTCTCAAAAAAAAAAAAAAATCGTTTACCAAAGCAGTGTTTACCCTTTCTACCGCAGTGCCCTCCATATTTCCTATTGTGTACTTTTCCTTAAAAAACCAAAAAAAAAAATCAGGCGCGGTGTCTCATGCCTGTAATCCCAGCATTTTGGGAGGCGAGGTGGGTGGATCATGAGGTCAGGAGTTCGAGACCAGCCTGGTCAACATGGTGAAACCCCATCTCTACTAAAAATACAAAAATCATGCAAATATGTAGGGCATAATTTTAAAAAATATAAAAATCAGCCGGGTATGGTGGCGGGCACCTGTAATCCCAGCTACTCGGGAGACTGAGTCAGAAGTCACTTGAGGTTGCAGTGAGCTGAGATCGTGCCACTGCACTCCAGCCTGGGCAACAGAGCGTGACTCTGTCTAAAAAAAAAAAAAAATTGGCTCTTTCCGGCCGGTGGCTCAGTCCCAACAGTTTGGGAGGCAGAGGCAGGATGATGACTTGAAGCCAGAAGTTTGAGACGAACAACATGGTGAGACCCTGTCTCAATTTTTTTTTTTTTTTTTAATTTAAAAAAATTTAAAATACTATGCCCTGGTCAGAACACAATAAATTAAATTGGGGAGAAGGGCGGCGCTTGTGAGTGTACACCCAAAGTTTGAAGGTTCCAACCCTTCTGTCTCCCAACAGAAGTAGTGAGGCACATCCCTCCTTTTTTAGCAAAAAGGAAACAGGCTTGGAGAGGTTGCAGCGAGGTGGGGCTAGGGCTGGCGAGCTGGGGTTCCTCGGAAGGAGCAAGCCCCCCATCCCTGCACGCAGGTGGCCGCGGCCGGCGCCTTCGCGCAGACACTGCGGCGCTACACGTCTCTCAACCACCTGGCGCAGGCAGCGCGCGCTGTGCTGCAGAACACCGCGCAGATCAATCAGATGCTGAGCGACCTCAACCGCGTGGACTTCGCCAACGTGCAGGTGAGCGCGGGGCAGGGCGGGGCGGGTGAGCAAGGGGCAGCCCGGCGGGGCGTTCCAGGCCGGGGTGATGGCGGCTGAGCCCTGGGCACCTGCCCGTCCGCCCGCTGTGCCCCAGGAACAGGCCTCCTGGGTGTGCCGCTGCGAGGACCGCGTGGTGCAGCGGCTGGAGCAGGACTTCAAGGTGACGCTGCAGCAGCAGAACTCGCTGGAGCAGTGGGCGGCCTGGCTGGACGGTGTGGTGAGCCAGGTGCTCAAGCCCTACCAGGGCAGCGCCGGCTTCCCCAAGGCCGCCAAACTCTTCCTCCTCAAGTGGTCCTTCTACAGGTGCGCTTGCGGTGGGATCGGGCCTGGGCGGCACCAGGGAAGTCCCCACGTCCCTGGGGGGCTCAGGTACTCTTCTGCAAAGACCCGAGCCTGCAGGCGGGCTGGCTGGGGCCCTGGACTCTCTACCATGTTCACCCTAGGGAAGTCTGTGCGGGATCCAGGCTGAGTCGCTGAGCTGGTGCGAGGCCGGGCGCATCTTGGTGGGGAGGGGGCAAGGGGTTGAGCGGGACGGGGCCTGACTGTCTTCTCTCCGTTGTCCTCCCCAGCTCCATGGTGATACGGGACCTGACCCTGCGCAGCGCGGCCAGCTTCGGCTCCTTCCACCTCATCCGGCTGCTTTACGACGAGTACATGTACTACCTGATCGAGCACCGTGTAGCCCAGGCCAAGGGCGAAACCCCCATCGCCGTCATGGGCGAGGTGCGCACGGCAGGGAACTGCGGCCGTGCGAGCAGAGTGCCAGGCAGCAGGACCCTCATCCTTATTCTTCTCTCTTCCCTCTAGTTCGCCAATCTGGCCACCTCCCTGAATCCCCTGGACCCCGACAAAGGTAGGTGAAGCGTGTTCCCACCCAGGGAGCGGGGTCGTGGGGCTGGCAGACAATCGAGGGGCTAGGGTGGAGGAGGAAGCCGCGGGGCCCCGGGGGTCGTTGCCACCACCCCCTGAGCCGGACTTGGTCCCTGTGCCCCAGACGAGGAGGAGGAAGAGGAGGAGGAGAGCGAGGATGAGCTGCCGCAGGACATCTCGCTGGCAGCCGGTAGCGAGTCTCCCGCGCTGGGCCCAGAGGCCCTGGAGCCTCCGGCTAAGCTGGCGCGGACTGACGCGCGTGGCCTCTTCGTGCAGGCGCTGCCATCCAGCTAAGCCCTTGGCCTCCCCATCCTACCTGCCCCCGTCACCCCTCCACACCAGGGTCCCTCACAGCTTCTGTGGCTTCGTGGTCACCGCTCCAGCCTCTGCCAGGGCAGGGAGGGGGCCTCCGAGACAGGGAAGGTCGGGGGAGGGCCCCCCTCCCCCATGGGGCCGGCACAATCAGCGGGCTGGGCGGAGCCGCAGCTGCAAACTCTTGACACAAAAGACGTGCCTTAAGGAACCCGCCGCGTGCCCAGGTGTCCCGCAGGGCATCCACCTCGGCCCCTTGCCCCCCTACCCCACCGCAGGCCGGCCCCTTGCCCCCCTACCCCACCGCAGGCCGCAGCATCTTCCCCCCAGCCCCGTCCTCCCGTCACCCCAGGGGGCAGGCAGGCAGGCCCCCTCCAGTGCAAAACTGTTAACTTATTCAGCTCGCTGGCTTTGCACAGCCTGTCCTGGGCCCAGCCCTGAGCCTCGGGCCGGCGCAGGTGGGCGTCACTTGGGGACACCCCCACTGTCAGCAGCAACCCCGGTACCCCCTACCCCCCGCAACCCCACTGCTTCCCCTTCTTGGTATTAAGTGCAATTAAAGCCGTGGGTGTCGCATCTTCTCCAGCGCTGGGCCCTCCCTTGCCCCCAAGCCCGAGAAGGGGGCATTGCTCGGCCTGGCTGGGAGGGGGGCGGCAGGGGGCATGGCCTCCAGCTTCCAAAGAGCCACGGGGCCGGGGAATGCCCGCACACCACAGCCCCTGCGCCCCGCTATCCGCCGCTGGTTTGTAATGGAACCTTCTCTGTGCTATGTTCCCGGAGACCGTGCTCCTCCATGCCGTGCACCCCCTGCCCCCATGACTATTGTGCGATTTGTGAGCGCCGCCCAAGCGGAGTTGGTAACTTGTTGGGTTTTTTTCCAACCATCATGGCCTTATCTGTTCCAGTTTTCTCAGTGTTTTCAACCTGTGAGATAAATGTTTATGGCAAGAAAAAGGAAAAAAAAGGCAATCTGACCTATTGTATAAAAATCACTATTTTGTGTGCTCCGCGTGCTACAGCTTTTGGGGCGGCCCTGCCCAGTCCCCGCGCCCACGGGCTCCCCCTCCCGGCAGTGAGTGTCCACGTGTGTGGTAGTCTAGTGTGCCGAGCTGTTTTCTACCTTTTTGTAGTCTTTCTTAAACAATAAATTCCGCTGTGGTATTTGTCTACTGCTGACTTGCTGGGCTCTGGGGGGGCCGTGGGGCGGGGGCTCCAGGCTGCAGTTATGGGGCCTCAATGAGGTTCAGAAATTAAAACATTTATTACATTAAGAACGGAATGGGAATGGCCAGGAGGTTGCTGGCCTGGGTGGGGAGGCTGGAGGCAGAAGGGCAGGGGGGAACGGGGTCCATTCGGCCTCCCCGAGGGCAATGTCCACAGCTGTAGCCGAGCAAACGGGCGAATGCATGAGGGGCCAGGCCCATGCCCAGCTTGGGGCGAAGGCGGGGCATTCGGGCTGGTGGGGCAGTGGGCACCCTCTCTCGGCCCCTTCCCAACTTAAATAGGCATAAATAAAGTGTCCAGACCCTCGGGCCACCAGGGGCTGCTCTGCCCAGCCCTGTTCCGCAGCCTAACACTAGTGCCGGTCATCAGTCGGTGGGCCAGCCGGCCGGGAAGAGGCCACCCCGGGGAGGTAGTTGGAGTCAGTGTCCGGGGCGGCCCGGCCCTCACAGCACGATCCACGTGTATCGCTCGCTGTCTGCCAGAACCTTCAGAGAGCACCCTGCAGGGACAGGTGAGGAAAAGGCATGTCCAGCCCTGAGGCTGCACCCTCACCTGACTGGCTTCTGGGCCAGAAGGTAGGGACCCTGCTGAGTTGTCCTCCACCTCTAGTCTGCAGCATGAAGCAGTGACCGGCTCCCAGGCCCTACACCTTCAGGGTCCCTGAGCTGGGCCTGGCCTGGGCCGCCCTCTCCTCGCCCCGATTCCAGCCTTCCCACCCATTTCATCAGTGCTCAGGAATCAGTGCCTGGTTGAGGGCAAGTGTCCTCGGGGGCCCTGACCATGGCGGGGTCGTCGAACCCCACCTTTGTGCAGCGCCTCGTTGGTCATCCTGTTGACGTAGCGGCCGCTGCTCTCGGGCACTAGCCACTTCATGACCATGTCCACGCAGCTCTTGCGGTAGGAGCTCCAGACGCTGCCGCTGCGGGGCCAGGGGGTGAGTGGCTCTCATGGCCTGGCCGCCCCGACCCTGCCCCCCAGCCCTGCCTCACCTGGTCTGCCCTTTGACTTCGGTGAGGTCGCCCACACTGACCGTCTCAAAGATGCCTGTGTTGAGATCCCATGCTACCTTGAGGCTGGTGTGATAGGTCTTTGGTCTGCAGTGGAGAGGGACAGAGGACAAGCGCTGGTACGGCCTGGCTCCTGAACCAGGCCCCATGCCACCTTGAGGGGTTTTTGTCTTTGGAGCAGCTATAGAGGGGGCCAGCCAGGTTGCGGCACAGCGAGGGCCTTCTCCTGTCCCCACGCCCCCACCCTGAAGTGTCTGCAAGTGGCACCCCTGATGGACAAGGAGGGCAGGGTCCCCATGCTCACCGGAGCTGGCCCTCCTCAGTGGGGGACGGGAAGGCCAGGAGCAGCAGGCCAATGTTGATAAGGACCTGGTTGGTTTCTGGGCAGACCTGGAGCGACGGGGCGGGGGGTGGACGACACCAGCTCCTGAGCATGACCCAGAGTAAGGGAGGCCCTAGACCCACCTTGCCCGCCCTGGGCCCACCTCTAGAATGACTATGTCGTAGTCACTGAAAGAACAGAACTGGTGGCCCCAGGTGGCGTCATGGCGGATGACCTCATTGATGACATATTCGAAGTCCAGTGTGAGCTGCTCCACTGTCAGGTACTGGCCCTGTGGGCGAGGGGGCGGCACAGAGGATAGTGCCAACCATCCCCCAGCAGTTCCCAGGGGCTGCCCTCGGCCTGCCCACCACCTGCACCCACCTGGGCAGCAGTCCGCTCCCGCATGGGCCGCAGGTTTCGGCCATGAAGATCGGTCACCACGAAGGGCAGGGAGATCTTGTCGTCCTCGAACTCTGGGGAGGCAGGAAGTGGGGGTGGGGTGGAGGGAGGCCAGGGCCCCCTAGGTTGGCCTTCCCATTCCAGGCCCTGCCGCAGACCTGCTCCCTGCTCACCATCCTCCGGCTCCGTCCCCTCTCCGGACTCCAGCACATAGTACAGCTTGGTGTAATTGACGTAGCCAGGCTCAGGGGCAGGCGCCTCCGAGGCAGAGGGGCTGTCCCGGGGTGCCGCCTCCCCACCCAAGGCTGGGGCCTCAGAGTGTGCACGGCAGTGGCTGCCAGACGGTCCTGGACACGGGGCAGGCCGGGCTTCCTCAGGGGCCCCACCCTTGGCCTCTTTGGCCCGGCGAAAGATGTCAGCCACAAACTCCTTAGCTTTGGCGATGGCGGGTGAGGTCTCAGGAGACCCAGAACGGGCTGGGGCCGCGTCAGGGCAGAAGATAGGGAGGGCAGGGGGCACCTCTGGGCTCTGGGGCTCAGGGGGGCTGGCAGGCGCTGGGGGGCAGGTGCTGTGGTCATACAGGATTTGGCAGAAACTCCTGTCACCTGGAAGAAGAGATCGGGGTGGAGAAGTGTCAGTAAACCTGTTCAAGTCTGGGGCACTCCCAGCCTCGCTCAGTGTCCCCAGAGGTTTTCAGAAACCCACCTTGAGGAGACGACTCTAGGAGACTTGGCTATGCTGAGATCAGTTTGAAACACCCAGAAGGGGAAAGACTTTTCCACGCATGCACACCACGCACACATGCATGCAGACGTTCGTTCAAACCCCCCTTTTATTTTTTTTGAGACAGAGTTTCATTATTGTTGCCCAGGCTGGAGCGCAGTATCATGATCTCGTCTCACTGCAACCTCCACCTCCCGGGTTCAAGTGCTTCTCCTGCCTCAGCCTCCCAAGTAACTGGGACTACAGGCGTGTGCTACCACGCCCGGCTATTTGTATTTTTAGTAGAGACAGCGTTTCACCACGTTGGTCAGGCTGGTCTCGAACTCCTGACTTTGTGATCCACCCGCCTCAGCCTCCCAAAGTGTTGGGATTACAGGGCATGAGTCACCACGCCAGGCATCAAGCCCCTTTTTCTTTTTCTTCCTGAGACAGAGTTTCGCTCTTTTTGCCCAGGCTGGAGTGTGTTGGCACAATCTTGGCTCACCGTACCCTCCGCCTCCCAGGTTCAAGAGATTCTCCTGCCTCAGCCTCCCGAGTAGCTGGAATTACAGACATGCACCACCACACCAGCTAATTTTGTATTTTTAGTAGAGTCGGGTTTCTCCATGTTGGTCAGGCTGGTCTTGAACTCCCTGACCTCAGGTGATCCACCCACCTCAGCCTCCCAAAGTGCTGGGATTACAGGCATGAGCCACCGTGCCTGGCCTAAAACGTCTTCTGACACATGCTCAGTGGATGCACACACAGAGACCTTCATTGGTGCTTCACAGATACCCCCAACGCCCCCCACCTTCTAACTCCCCAATCCCACGGAGGGTTCTTCAGGTGGCCCCCAGCTCTCCCTCAGCAGCCCTAGACATACGGATCCAATGGGAGAGACCCGGGCACAGGGCAGCTGGGTCTGTCAGTCACAATTCTGTTACCAAGTGGCCCCCAGGACCCCCTCCCTCCCATTGCTGCACTGTCAAGGGCCTATCTTGTGGTTTTCACTGGCATCTTTCCGACATCAAAGATGTAAAGCAAGTGCCTGCCCATGAACCATGCCCCGAGATATCACGAGTGTTTCTCTTTTTCAGAGAAAGGAGCGCTTCCCCGTCCAGCACAGCCGCTGCTAGCCACCTGTGGCCACTTCAAGTTAGCTATAATGAAATCCATCACAGGCTGGGCGCGGTGGCGCACACCTGTAATCCCATGGCTTTGGGAGATTGAGGTGAGTGGATCCCTTGAGGTCAGGAGTTTGAGACCAGCCAGACCAACATGGTGAAACCCTGTCTCTACTAAAAATACAAAAATTAGCCAGGTGTGATGGCAGGTGCCTATAATCCCAGCTATTAGGGAGGCTGAGGCAGGAGAATCTCTTGAGCCTGGGAGGTGGAGGCTGCAGTGAGCGGAGATCGTGCCTCTATACTCCAGCCTGGGCGACAGAGCGAGACTCCATCTCAAAAAAAAAAAAACAAAGTAACAAAAGCTCGGTTCCTCGGTCACATGAGCCACAATCCAAGTGGCTCCTGGAGGCAGCCATGGTGGACAACGCAGATATGGGACATCTCGGCCACGGGAAAGATCCCTCGGGCAGGGCTGTGGAGGGCGTGGCCATTTTTGGACCCCTGCATTCCTGCCCCCAGGCTGTGTGACCTAGGGGAGCAGGCTCTACCTCTCTGTGCCTGGGACCCGTCTGTGTGGTGGGGTAGGGAGAGGCTGGCCTCACGCACTGCTGGGCTGCCATAAGCCCCCAGGGCCTACCTGCCGAGTGGACAGAGACAGCGCAGGCCACCAGGGAGTAGCTGGTGTTGAGCAGCACCACCTGGTCCTTCTTGAGCTGGAAGGCGGGCTGGAAGGTGGGAAAGGGGTAGACCACCTGGTACTTGGTGTGCAGCATGAAGCCGTGCCGCAGGCACTGTGCATTTGGATCTCCTACAACAACACACGCCACAGCAGCTCACACTCGGCCCAGAGAAGGGAGGCAGCGGGGATGGGGGCAGGTCGCCCTCACCCCCTTGGTCCCCTCACCTGGGTGGGCCCGGCTGGCATCCTGGCAAGCAGCACAGCGGCCCGGCGGTGGCACCGCCACGGTGCTGACGTAGATGTCACGGTGATTCTCATCGCTCATCATCATCATATTCATGAGCATCCCATTAGCCGAGCGGGTACTGGGGGCCGGCATACCCTCAGCAGCCTGGTCGGCGCCTGGGGGCCCCCGCTGCACACCCCCAGCCCCACCCAGCCATGGGTCCCCTAGGATTGGAGTCTCACTTGAAGCCGAAGACGATGACCTTAGAGGCATCGCTGGGCCACTCGCATACGGTCAGGTACAGGTCGCTGTAGATCTCCTCGTCCTGGAAGAGCCGGACCTGGCGGACCTGCGAAGCACGTTCAGGATCAGTGCCAGGCCAGGGTGGGATGCAGCCAATGGGAACGCTGTCTCAGTGGAGACTGCCCCAGGCACTGGTCCCAAGCCCAGCCCACCCTAAGGCCCATTCAGCTGAGTTCA